CTCCTCAGCTCAACAAGGACAAGGAGCTACTGGAGAGGGTCCAGCACAGGGCCACTACGATGGTGAAGGGCCTGGAGCACCTTCCACATGAGGAAAGGCTGGGAGAGCTGGGTAAGTTCAGCTGGAGGAGGCTGGGAGGGGATCTTATCAACGCTTATCCATATCTAAAGGGTGGGTGTCAGGAGGGTGGGGCCAGGCTCTTCTCAGTGGTGTCCAGTGACAGGACGAGGGGCAGTGGCCATAAACTGGAAACAGAAGGTTCAACCTGACCATGAGGAAACCTTTCTTCCCTGTGAGGGTGACAGAGCCCTGAACAGGCTGCCCAGAGAGGGGGTGGAGGCTCCTTCCCTGGAGACCTTCCAAAGCCCCTGGACTTGTTCCTGTGTGATCTGCTCTAGGGGATCCTGCTCTGGTGGGGGTTTGGACTAGATGGTCTCTAGAGGCCTCTTCTAACCCCAACCACTCTTGCATCTGTGAATCTTCTGGAAAACCTGGATATCACTGGAACAAAGTTAGCTATGTGCAGTAAAAAGAAAACAGTAATTTCAGTAATATAGTAAAACTGCTGTTTACAGGTACAAGGGCCACGAATACATCTAGACTGGCATCAGAACAATGAGATACTTAGGATCTCCTATAGAAAAGCTGCCTAGGTAACCCTATCCTACTTTGCAACACTAACAATCACAGGCTGGCATCATGAGCGTTTGTCATCTCCACCACTCAGGAAGCATTTGCCATAATACTTGTGGCATGAATATTTATCAGTAACGTGGGACTATTAAAATTTCTGAGTCAGAAATAAATTGGTTGAGATTATAGAGTGAGTCAATGCAGAACCAGAAATAGCATTCACAAGCCCTGACTTTCAGCCCTGTGCTCTAACCACTACACAGGTTCCTTAAGGCAGTTGAATGATGTTATTAATGTTTGTAAAGTAATTTGAATCCTTGGATGGGAAATGCTCTGAGAATAGCAAGGTTGGAGGGACAGAAAACCACATGTTCATAGAAACAATGGCCATAAGCTGCTGGGAAAGGCCTTTTGTACTGAATTGCAATAAAAAGGTTTTTCTTCTAGCAAGTCACAGAAAAGCTTTAAGGTGACTGAACTCAAGCAACAAGCCACCCGACGTACCACAGAGCTGGACTGAGCTAATTCCAGCTCTATTCACATGGTTCCAAGGTGTTCTCAGCATTTGCAGTATCTAAATAATGATCTGAAGTCTGCAATTCAGTTTTTCTTCATTTAGTACTTCTGTGTCCCAAACCAAAAAGCTAATCCCAAACCAAAAAAAAAAAGCTAGCCTGATGCCAGGAGGGATGCCACCCCCGCAGCCAGCACGCACAAAGGCAGGCTTTTCCCTGCACACGGCGGGTGGTTTCCTTAGGCTGCAGGCAGCGAGGATGTGTTCTGGAAGTGCTTTGCTCGTGTTTTATATTTAGCAACAGCTGATCAAACATACCATTCTTGCAGGAAACCGGCCATTCCGAAGATGACTTCCAGGGATAGTCGTAACATCTAACCCGGATCCCTCGCCTTTCGGAAGCACCCACCTCTGGAACATTTTCCCTCCTAGTAGAGAGCACCAGTGCGGAAAAACCCACATCAGAAAGATCCGTGAGTGCCGTTTTCTTTTAAGAGAGAAACAACAGATGAATTGTTTGCACAATGTCGATATTATTAAAATTCAAGGGTCAATTGTGTCGAGAAGTAGAATTTGCGCCATTTGTCGGTCTTTCAGCTGTATCACAACAGATCACAGAATAGAATCATAGAATCACTGGGTTGGAAAAGACCTTGGAGATCATCCAGTCCAACCGTATCTGTCCACCACTAAACCATATCTCTCAGCACCTCCATGATGCTGAGTTTTTATTCCAGCCACAGGTATCACTTTCTTCCACCACCCGTTTTCACAAGCCCAAACCTTCCTGTACCAGGCTGAGATCCTTGCTAAAGCCACTCGCAACACCAACAGCTACTACACAGCAACCTCCCTTCCAGCACACCCCTCCCCACCCGATACGCGATTCCTTCAATTTATAGCCGATCACGCGGAAAGGGCAAAAGGAAACATCTCCTTTTGTCTGAGCGGTCAAGAGTGTACATTGTGAATGGGGAGACTGTACACCTCCTCTACCGCCCGAGCTGAAGTGCACAGGAAATTACTTCCTAGCCACGTTGTGCCTAAAAACACCCAATTCCAGAGCTACCAATAAAAAGAGAAAAAAGTAAAAATACTATTTTTAAAAATACTACTATTTTAAAAATACTACTATTAAATCCAGCAGCCCCTCTCCAAGAGAAGTACAGGTTTCTGCTTATCAGCACTGAGCTTTTTCCAATTAGGCTGAGAAGAGCACGTTTTTACGTACTAAGTGCTGCAGTAGAAGTTACAGTCCTGCCTCAACAGAGCAGTACGGGCGAGCAGGGTGTCGCTGCATGTTCAACACGTCTCCAAGGCAGCAGCCGTTTCTCAGTAGGAAATCGGCAAAGGGACTTCAGCCACAGACCTTGCCAGCACCTCAGCACTGCGCCGGTCAGATAACCGCCCCCCGCTGAACACGAATTGTTGACAACAGTATCGCTGTGGTTTCGAGTATGGTTGTATCTTTGGAGATAGGTGGTTGCTGGCATTTAGGAAGCATCGCTGGCTTCAAGACAAAACACTAGGGAACGGAACTCCTTTTCTGTATTTAGTCTGGTGTTCAGGGACTGCAAGTTGAGAGTGTGCACTGGTTTCGCTGGGCACCGAAGAGATGCTAGAATGGAGAGGCTGCTTTTCTGCAAGTGGGGATGAAAGTCGGTGGAGGGCAGAACTACCCCCAGGCCCACCCTGCCCAGCAGGCTGCCTAGGCTGAGGCCCAGACATCACAACCCCGAAGCTAGCAGAACAGGCTACCGTTCCACATGCAGCTGAGGAAGAGATCAGCAACTTCAAAAATACCTGTAAATAGAGAAAAGGGACAGAAAAGAGGATAAAAAGCAACCTGACAAGATGTATTCTATGCATACTTTTATTAACAAAATATAAGATTTACAGCATATGTCAACGGACAGTGTGCTTAGAGTTATCATCTAGTTGGATAGCATGACACCAAAGTCAGTAGCTGGTCTTGGTGAGGGTAAATTAAACCTCAGATGACATGCTAGGGATCACTGCTACTGACAAACCCAAAAATCTTACCCAAGACTAGCTTTAGAACCCCCAGTTCCATCCCAACATGCACAGCTGAGGTCCGAGAGGCAGTTTCGCTTGAATGTAGTATTGCTAGAAGGCTGCACTTGGTTCTACGTGACATCTACCTGTTCAGTTCTGTGTCGTCCTCACATCCTCACTTCCTTCTGTCTGTGCTAAGCAACTTTCCAGGTATTCAGTGCATCGCTGGGGTACAGATACACACGAGAGCGGCGGTCTTAATACCGCAACCCTCAATCTTCCCAAAACAGCAGTCACTAAACCTACACCGTTCTTCAGAAAATGGAGACGAATTTTACCAGCTCTGATGCAAAAGAAGTGTCTAATTACCTCTTTGCCCGTGCGATAAAGAACGAACACCTTGGCCCTGACCCTGTAAACACATATACACATGATTAACGTTACTCAGCAAGTTGTTTCCTTAACTATTAGCAAGTACAGTCAGTCACTTGAGTAAAATTAGTCACATGCTATGTAAGTAGGAGTAGGGCCTACTAGTTTATTCATCCATTGGAAAATAGTTGCTGTCCCTGGGGCAGTTAAATCTTTTACAAGGCTAACAGGTGAAAAAAAAAAATCCTTACAAAGGCTCATTGTCAGGCATGCATGTTACAAGACAAATACTGCATTTAAGAGAACCAGGTCTAATAAATATTCGAATGTTTACATTTCAAACCACTGCACAAGGACTTAAAGAAACCAAAGTATGATCGCAACAGTAGTCTTGTTAACAACCTCTAACCCAGCCATAATTTTACAGCAGAAACAGTATCTTAGTTGATCAAATAATAGAGGCATTATAATAACCGCCTATAACTAAGCCACAGAAATAATTTAAATATAGGGAACTGAAAAGTGAAAACTCTCCCATGTTATGGTAAGTTCACTGGACTTGAAACTTCATTCTGAAAATTTCTGTGAAGGAAGAGTAAACCTAAAAGCACAATTAGCAAAAACATCCAGAGGTAAAAACTCATGAGCCTTATAAAGCATCAATATCTAGTTCATCTTTGGATAAGCCTTATTCGCTGAAGAGTTTAAATCTCTCAAACAACTATGAACACTAATTTCATGCAGCTTCTGTACTCCACGTATTTTCTGACCATTGCACCACTGAACATTTCTGTAAGTGCAGTAACTTTGCAAAGCCAAAAGCCAGGAGAAACACTTGCATGGTAACACTACATTTCCACTCAGTTACTGACAGCAATAAAATACAGAAAATAGAGCATCTCAGAATGCAGTGCAGTAATTATCTATGTAATCGCTTGGTATTTTGTACTACATACAGCATACTGCCAGACAAGAATTCAAACGACTTTTTAAAAAGCCACAGGGGACTCTGTACTCTACAGAAGGCATTACGGTATTGTATCCTAAACCAAGGCATTAAAGAAACCGGGATGATGCTAAACATTAAGATGTTAGTCCCATCAAATGTATTTTAAAACCTGAAAGTTCTATTCCCGTTCCATTTGAAGCAATAGTTAAAGGAGGAAAAACCAAAAAGGAGCCTTTACGGATACCGGAGCAGGACCTGACCTGTTCAGATCACGGCAAAGTCTGACAGCAGTTCACGGTTTGAGGCGGAAGCGGTCAACGCACACTACGGCTGGTATTCTGGGCATTCGTGAACGAATGCAGATCGTTGTGAAATCCCTCCCTCTCTTCATTCCCAGCAAAAATAATTAATACTGGATAAATCATTACAAAAAACCATCATTTTATTTTCATGCATCTAAGGTAAAACACAGAGTATTTGTATAAAGAGGTAGATGAAAAAAAAGAAAACAGATTCTCCATTCTTTGTCACTTTTATTCAGTAGTTTGTTTGTTTTTCCTTATTTTCTCTTTTTTGGTGCCAGGCATGGCAAGGAGTGATTACAGTCAACTGCTTATTAGAACATTGGTTGCAACACAGCCCCCCTTTACCACTGACCCCAAACGGACCCATTTCATGTGCTTTATTTTGTTGTTTTTTTGTTTTGTTTTTTTTCTAGACACCACCACCAAGGCTAGGTGGAGGGGGATGAAAGGGAAAGGGGGGAGTCCAGGAGGCCAGAAGTTTGAGCAGAAATGCTACAAGCCACAGCAAGGATGAGCTGTATTTAATAAAAAAAGGGGGCCACGAATGATACAGTAATGAGGTTACACAATTAAATCCCATAGCATGATTGAAGGCTTTCCCTGTGTCTGACGTCATCACAATGGAAGGCATAAAAAGTGGAGTAAACCGATGTCGATACAGTCCAATCTAGTCCATTAGGCAAGATGGTGCAAGTAGTCATTTAAATTAAAAAGTGCCCTATCCTCACCTAAATGGCTAGCAGACATGGAGAAGCACAGAGTGAGGGATCAACAGAGCTTTCTCCATGTAGCTATAAAAGTGTGTTGTCATATGGCACATTTTTAAACACTGGAAAGGGGTGCCATAATGGACCTCATTCTCTCTTGTTTACAGGTACAAATGCTAGATTCAACTATTTCAACTATGCAGGAAGTGGACTCTTCAGTTAGGAATGCCAACCCTAATTCATTTTGTCTTGAAATATATACAAGTTGTTTGTAGTAGCTACAGCAATGATGTTCTCTTTAGGATGCCAGGCTGTGTGCAGGATCTTCTTGTTGAAGTCTAGGCTGTCAACACTAATTTCATCCTTCTTTCGCTTACCGCTCGCGCAGACCTTCCGCGGCTTCAAAATGGTACGGGGTTTGTTGTTTTCCCGGGATGCCTCTAAGGTGATGTCGCGCTTCGTGTTTCTGTCAAACATCCTGAAGAAGTTGTTGTAAGATCCCGTCATGACGATGCTGCAGAGCGGGGAAGAAGAAAGTTCCGCTGAAAAGAACCTCTCCTTTTATTAGCCCACCCAAGATCATGCCTTGTTACGTAAGCAGACAGCAGGCGTCCTTGCCCACAGCCTCTACAGTCTGAAGTGAAACTAAGGCCATTCAAAACACCTATACAACACTCGAAGAGGTATATTTTTCCTTAACTGGACCTTTCCAGGTACACCCTTTGTTATTGAAGCACTTCGATCCGAGTGTCACCATTTAAGTGGCTTTTCACGCACACGCAGGGAAGTGACCTGCAAGAAAGCCAAACACCTTGTGGTTTTAGCTGCACACCAGCTGCATGGATTTAGGGACTAGCATACGTAGTTTGTGATAATACCTCACAGGGAATGCTTATTCCATGTAAGACAAAGACACTTAGAAACTTCCCTGTCCTCCCTGTGCCTCAAAAAATATCTGGACAGTTACAGTGTTTAAAAAAATAAAAAAGCCCTGTGTGACAACACTGACAGGGACATGATGAGCTGATCCAGATTGAGCAAACAAGCAGCCAGTGGCCTGATTAACACAAAAGCAATAGCTGTCCCCAGTGGTATTACTGGCTACTTAACCATGCCCATACAATCACAGACTGGTTTGGGTTGGAAGGGACCTTAAAGATCATCTAGTTCCAACCCCTCTGCCATGGGCAGGGACACCTTCCACTAGACCAGGTTGCTCCAAGCTTCATCCAGCCTGGCCTTAGACAATTCCAGGGATGGGGCACCCACAGCTTCTTGCCCAGAGCGAGGCAAACTTGGCAACTCACTGCAAGGAAGAGAATTCCTAGGTGGTGCTCCCCAAGCGGTCTGGACAAGCCGCCTTCTCAAGATAGAACACACACAGGTTCCCCAACAGCCCGGGCGCACTCTTACAGGCAGAGCACGCAGTCAGACAACAGTGAGTACACAGGCCTTATTCCCATATAAATCATTCCAAAACCAGATCATAACAGATGACACAGCATGCAAAAACATCCTAAACACATGAAAACCCAAAACAACCCCCTCCCCGAGCACTGGGGAATAGACCTAGGGGATTAGGGTAACGGTGGTACTTCATCAGCAGCTGAAGCGTGCAGAAAACCATCTCTAGTCTTCTGCTTCGTGCAGCGCTCCAGTTTTCAGCGGCTGGAACATGTGATTAATATTTCACTCTGGCAAGGCGACAAAACTCGATTTTGAGTCAAACGCTACGTCTCTTTAGTACACTGAGGCAATGCTCCACAGTCCCATGCTGCAACAGCCAATATATATGCATTAAAGTCTACTGAAGTACTAAAATACTATCCAAGCCAGTCCCATGAGTAACACCAGACTGGTATTTGAGGTCATGCTGCAAAAGAAGAATAAGAATAACTTGGAAAAGTCGTAAGTGCATATAGAGAAGAATTAAACTTGCCTGTCTGAGCCATTCCAACAGCATTCAAATTTGTCAAAAATGCAATCATTCTCATACAGTGAACAAAGTTTACTTCTGAGGTATTCGTGCACCTGGAAAAAAATGAGTTGGGTGAACCTGAATGAATACTTGCATGCCTGTGAAATACCCCTCAGATTCGGTTCCAAAAGCAGTTAACATCTGCCAGTGCTTACAGCCTGAGCACACACAGCTCCCTCCTCCGACTGTATGGGTAAAGAGCAGGACGAACAGCCACGGGAACTAACACGTTCTGCTCCACAGAGATGAACTCAAACAGCAGCAAGTCACTGAGGGTGGGGAAAGAGACATCTCCCAGAACTTGGCAATTCTGCAGAACACTTTCCCTCTCTCTGAGCAGCTGCCATACCCTCACTACCCTTGGAGAGATCTGAAGGGATTTATCAGACTTTGCTTATTTCCAAAATCATGCTTTGGTGACTGATCTTCCCCCTGGGCGTGATGGAGAAGATCCCTTCACAAATTTCCTTACAAGGAGAACGCCACAGCATTTTCTGCAAAGGAAAGGCTTTACCTCCCCTCTACTCCAGGAAAGAGCAGGAGAACAGAAAGTCAAATGAAGACGAACAGAGACGTGCTATCTCATGGCTGAAGTTACCTTCCACAGTTCCACTGTGTAAGAGGGAAGCTCTTTCATACCCAAACATGGGTTTGGGGTCTGCAATCAGCCTGCAAATAGCAATATCCTTTAGCACATGCGTGCAACCCACAAATCTCTTTGATGCTTTGCCTGGACAGAGTGATCTATAGACAAAAATTTAACTGCCACATCAAGACTATTAAGACTCAGCATCTCTCAAGATGCAATTTCTAGCCTCCATCTTCACCGAATACCTGGTATGTTTCCACAGGTCTATTTTCCATATTTAAATCCCAGATCTTCACTGACAGGTAATCTCTAGTCATCATATATCGACCACTATGGCTAAATTTGACATCAGATATGGAAGAGATGATTTCAGAGAAAAATGATCTGTTGCTAGGGTCTTCTGGTTCTTCAAACACTGTATGAAAAGAAAATACACATTCAAGAGATAAGTTCATGTCTCATTTTCTCAGTAAACTTGCCACGTTGGGCTAGTCTGACTGCATTACATACAGTAACTTTGAACGAGAAAGCCTTACAGTGCTACCACCATACTGCGAAACAGTTCATTTACACAGCAAGTCAAGGTCAGCTCCTGAGCGAGCGAGCTGCTCGCCAACGCTCGGAGTCTTCGCTCACACACGTGAGGTGCCAAGCATCAGTTCCAGACCAAACTCACTGTGCACCTGAATTCCTGAAGCCTGCAGAAAGCTATTCCTAGTCCTGCTGTCTAGGCAGACTCCCCACCTTCAGCTGCTATTAATTTAATCCACCACTTTCCCTGGCAAAATAGGAATCTAAGATTTATTTAGATTTTAGACCTATTCAATATACTGCAGAAATCCAAGACAAATCTATACACATGCTTCGGTGTTTAACAGATTCTTCCCGAGTGCTTAGTTTCACCTAACAGCAAGACAGCACATTCCACAAAGAGACAGTGACCACCACAGGGCAGCACTTACATTTCGAGTGTCTGTCACAGAGTGCTGACGCTCTCATATCACAGAGGCGAATCGTTCCTTTACTGCTGCTGTACACGAACGTGTTACAGCTGTTTGGGTGGAACTCCGCAGCCGTTATCACCTCCGTCAGCTCTTCCATGTTGGCAGGCTTAATATCTACAATATCTACAGCGTCTTGTTAAGAAATTTCTCCAATTTTTGTAGTATTTTTCAGCTTTAAACGCATTCAGCAACACTCCTTTTGTTCACCAAAGTATACCAGAAGTAGCCAAACAGCATTAAAGCGAGCTAATAAAAGCAAAATAATGCTTGAAATTTGGAAACAGGACAAGACTTCCTTGCCAAAGGCTCCAGGACCCTGTCAAACACTGGATAAAGGTTAAAATTACAGTTTCACCATTCGTGTGCAAAGCAAGACCATAACCCTGTAGAGCGGTCTGAACTTAGTTCTTTAAGAGGCAAGAGCCTGCTTAATTTTCTGCCCCAATCAGCAGTAATTCTGTACTACCTGTCTGTCTCGGGACTAGGAAAAGAATCAACGCCGCTGAGCGCATGAGGGTGGGCACTCCTCTGCCTCGCTCCCCACGGCAAGGCAGGAACGTTTTCACAACACAGCTTACTGCAATGCCGCCGTCCAGAACTGCTCCACTAATCTGAAACCGGAAGGGCTTTTTCCTCCTCAAGAGAGTGGTTTGCAGCATGCAAATGACCAGTTCTCCTAATGCTGCTCATGCCGAGCTGCCTCTCCAGAAGTGAAAGGTCTTGCAAGTACCGGGCAGAAAAAACCCAGGCAACGGAGGAGCGTGCTATGTAAAAAGCCTTTCCTGAAAACCGAAATGAGATCTGACATTTTGCAGTAACCGAGCCCTTCCCGCCACATAACGCAAAGCAAAAAAAAGATACTAAAACTTCTGTCTGTTATTTCTAGGTGCCACAGGTTAATCCGCAAGTCATCTGCGGATAAGTATGTTTCGTAATCGCTATTAATGGAGATGGAATTGATGTGATACGTGTGAGCATTGGCAAATATTCTTCGTGGACTAGCTTCAACCATGAGGTCCATGGGCCTGAAGACTGGCACCTGCAAAACACAAAGCAGTGGAAGTTTGGGATGCGTGTGGCAGTCGTGACCACAGTCCTGCAGTACACGAAGCTGATTAAAGTATCTCAAGGTCACCTCAGAAGTAAACGTGTCGGCCAACTGGCATCACAGAACATGTGAAGTTAAGAATCCGATGGGGCAGTTACTCACTGCGTGCCAGCAGCAAGGGGAGGGGAAATCACAGCGAGTGAACTACTCACCCGTAGTGTTGTAACTGTAGTAGGATCCCTATACCGTCCATCTTCTTCCTTTAAATTATAACCCTCTGGTCTTTTGTCCCTTTCACTGATTTTCCATAACTTTATTGTTTTATCTGAAATGAAACAGCCACAGTTTCAAACCAAAGCTCTAGGGAAGGTACCAGTGTTCACAGTTGATGCATTTTAACATGAAGCCTTCAAACAAGACAAGACCACCTACGTGCACAAAAAAAAAAGACAAAAATACTGCTTGGAGAAAACAAGACAGGATAAAAAGCATTAAAAAGACCTCCTCCACAGCTTGTTCTTTTTATAAAAGTTACAGCACTTCTCAGTTGGAATCAGGGTTGTTGTGAATGACTAATGTAAGCTCTCTCACAGTTAGTTAGACACACATGAAGGTGCTGAATGACGGCTTAGCTAAGCCCTTTGCCATGAAGCAACCAAATCAGAAATTACTAATATACCACCCCAGGTCGCAGGGCTCCTGTATCCAGTTAAGGCAGAAGGACAACAGGGCTATAAACAGCAGAACTCGTGTGTGGCCACAGCCCTAGACACCTGCATTTACAGCCAACTTGCTTCCAGCCTTCTGACAGTGGAGAGGATTAGGCAGATACCTAAAAGCATACCTATGCAACAACAGGTAACTGTGCAAAATTAGCTATTAAGGCATAACTTACCATTTGTAGACAATAAAAACTGAGCAGCATTTTTCTGGGGTAACCACCTAATTTTGTTGATCTTCTCTTCAATTTCTAAACTTTTCAAGTAGTCAAACTCTGGTTCATGGCTTTGAAAGGTACTGTAAACATTGTATTCTCCCCTACTGTGAGACTGGGTTTTGTTCTAGAAAGAGAATTAAATGATCAAGATACGTATGCAACGTACAGAATGCTTTTCAAGGCTGCAGGCAGAAGGCAGAACTAGCAATTTATGCGGCCAGATACATCGGCTGCATCTTTAAAGGGAATATTCGCCAAGAGAAATCCACAGCCACACACATGGCAAATCCACTCTGTGGGTGAATTCGGCCTGCTGGGCACACTGGAAATCCCACGGCACCTCTACATTTGTACAAGCAGCTCCACTCCTCTGGTTTGTAATCTCCACACTCCCTGAGACCTTCTGAACTGCTCAAGAAGCTTTGTTTCTTCCTCATTCTGGAGATAAGGGGAGGAAAGCCAAACACCTCTGCAGCATACATCTTTGACGTTAAGAGTTGCCCCTGCAGTCAGCCTGGTTAGGACGGACCTGTTTGGAACACTAAGAGCCTCCAAGCCTGCAGAATTCCTCTGCCCAGCAGCTGTGATCAAGGCAGTTGCTTCCTAGCACTAACACTGCACTGCTTGGAACGACCTTTAAACTCCCTCCAGCGGGTAAGGTGCCAGAAAACCAGAACCGTTTCTGAAACGGGTCTCACTAGGTGTACCCCAGCTTCATTCAAGCTCAGTTTTGTGCTATATTCTTGTTCCACCCATCTCAAGACATTGCACCATCAGAAGCCTTTCCCGTGATACATTCTTGACCAGGGATTTTCCTTCCTTCTCGTGTGCGTCTCACGTCCGGCGTTCATCTCAGCCCTTAACACCTCACTAAAACGTATTTCTTGGTATGATCCTGGCTAGCCCGCTTCTGTCACATTCCTTGCATCTTCCCCTCTTGCCTCACACCCTTACATTAACAGCTGGCAGGAATTCTTACAATTTACAGCAAGCTGCGGGGGAGGGAAAAATGCTTAGAAGTACAGTTTGGCCCTAGATTATCGTACACGCCGATCAGTGACACCAGCTCTCCCGCCCTGGGGAACGGAAGGAACCCTGGTCTCCATTCGGGACCTAACCAGCCCATCAGGGTCACTGAAGAGCACGGCCGGCTGCTGAAGGGAACCTGCTGTGCTTCCCAGGTGCTGGTCCTGATTCTGGGAACTTCCCTTCAATTCCATACTTACCATAATGACTGAGAAACGCTGTGTCTCTAGTAAGACTCTACAGTCCTTAGCAGCTAAGATATAAAAGCAGTAATGTTTGAAACCCTTCCTTGGGATAAAAGCAAAATTTAAACTGTCTCATGGCACTCAAATTTAAAAAAAAAAAAAAAAATCAAAACAAGAAGAGGTGTTGGGCCAAGTGCCTGATGTTAAATTCGAATTTAGGTAATTACAGGCTGCCTACGCAAATTCCTCCTTCAGTTTCAATTCGATACAGCATTCATTTCCTGCCTGATCCTTACACAACGTCCCTTGCTTCCAGCTCAGGGGCGGCAGCACCGTGGCAATGGGTGAGGTCACACAAGCCTGTGTAACGCTAGACAGAGCGCTTGTGTTTTGGTGGTTTTTCTGTATGTGCGGAGAGCAAAGCTCTCTGGAATACAGAAGGAGGTACATAAATCCAATGAAAACACAACTCTTACATTTAAGACTTGCTCTTGAGTAGTGCACGTGGCGTAACCGGCTCCCGATGCGCAGGGGAACTCAGTCCCCACTGCTCATTCCCCGAGCATGGAGGAGTCAAATCACACCAAAACAACTCTGTGCCACTTCATCTGGTTCCTACTATACCTACACTCACAGGCTGCAAGGACACGAGCCACGGCTTCTGCATCAAACCACACGCAGACATTTAAAGACAACTTCCTCCACAACAGGCAGTTACTGCTTTAAGCTACATTAAAGGATCCTTAAAGGATGAAAGCTAAAACCGACAAGACACCAGAAGAGTTTGTGCCCAAAACCAGAGGAAGATGAGAGTAAGGATACTACACATACTCCATCCACCCCAGATTCCGGCCGAAGAGGGCAGTCAGTCAGGAATATCCCACTAGATGGCACCAACTGGCCGCAGGGATCCATCTGGAAGAGAGGCACTCCACCCGGATCACCTCCCACCAGCAGAAAACAACTTGTTGTGGGCAACTGTGGAATTCTTACGGTTTAGGATTTTTGGAATTGAAACTGAATGAAGCACTAAGGAAAGAAGGAACGGCACGACTTTTTTGGGCAGAGATGTGACGGCAGCACCTTTCAGCCTCTCCCTGACACGAACTGTAACCAAGTCAACTTCTAACTATGGCCTTAGTGAAAAATCAAATGCTCCTCCTCAGCATTCCCAACTTTACCATGGGAGTAGAAGCCCTTTCCAGGCATAAGAGGATTTGTCTGCAGAGATCTGCAAAGACCAAAAGAACAAGCCCAGAATGAAAAGGTACCTCGGCTACTACGATTCTGTGATTCAACCTGACTGAGACCTGGATGGGAAAAGGACGTCTGAGCTCACAGCTACATACTCACTCAGGGGCAGCAACTCATTTCCCAGACTACAGTGAAACCCGAAACAATCACACTCAAGCACAGGCACTGTAAAACAACCAACCTGAGCTTCCCGAAGTCTTTTCGTGTCCTACCCTCCTTTTTACTGTCACTTTAAACACTCCTTAGATAACAGCTAGAGTGCTTAAAGGGAAATTATTTTCCTCTCACTTCACACTTAAATGTCATTGTTTTAATCACTTATGACACAAGTGTGAACTTTGTGTGTGTGAAGGTTTTTATAAAAGCACATTCCTTTTCTTTCAAAGGGGAATAAACAGGAACAGGGGAGAATGTGAAATATACTTTAAGCAGTTAGCACTCACCTCCTGCTCCTGCTGGAAGATGACAACTCTACCTCCTTTGTCTCCTGTCGCTAACAACTCTCCAGAATGGTTAAATTCTACTGTAGAAATTATATCCGCTGCACAGAAACAAAAACAGATCCCACAAGTTAATAATTCTTTTAAATACTAAGTGGCCAAGAAAGCTACAATCGTAAGTAAAAGGGAAAAAGCACACTTGGGCGGAGTTTAACCATACTTACGCTGCGAAACACAAGTAGGGATCTCCTCAAAAACACACAAGTAATTTAAGGCTATACGTTGGAAAACCAGCTCCTAGTTGACTGCGCCAGAGGTACAGGTCCAGTGCTGCACACCAGATCGCTACAGGCTTTACATCCTCACGCCTCGGAGCAGTTTTCCTTTTTTTCCAGTCCGTACTGCAACGGCAGGGAGAGCCTGCGCAGACACACGCTCCCACCTTTCTTTTCCCGGTTCTGGTAGAAGAATTGATACAATCCTTACCCGTATGATCCCTAAGCTTCACATCTGACAACCTAAAGAGCAAACGTTCGCAGGTGGAGATGTTCAGACCTCAGTGTCCAAAGAACGCAAGGAGGTGGAACAAAAACAGCTACAGAAAATCAGGAAATAAATTTAACAGACTGTCTCTAAAAACCCCGAGGAGCTTTCCTGGCTGAGGAAGGTTTACACTGCCACCAGGCTCCTTCAGTGCGGAGCGCTGGAATGGAATTGTGAAGGTACACAGCCTGACCCCAGCCATGCCTACTATCAAACACATTGGTTTGCACAGCAGAGAGGAAAGGACAAATTACAACATTTAGGCTCAGGCACACCCATTCACACTTTCCCCGCGCCCCTCGTACCCTCCAACAGAATCAGAAACCAGAGCATGCTTCAAATGGCCATACAACCACAACATTCAGTCCCACAGAAGGAAGTACCCAAGGTTTTTACACACGCAAGTCTCCAGGCTATTTCGCTTTCTCATCAGCCTGACGTACATAAACACACCCACGTTTTCTACTGGATGGTTTCTTCGTTCTCTGCTTTAGAGTTGAAAGATGTGTGGTACCTGCTCCACAGACTGAAAGCTAGCCAGCAGACATGCGGCCTGACCGTAAACGGCCGTTCCGTGCAGCGCACCACGAAGCTCTAACCATGAGCAGCAGGAGGCTTAGCTCATTCTGAAGAGGTGAAGCAAGCAGGATTGTCCTCTCATGCATTTTAACACCAAACTGAAACTTCCATCCCCCTCGGGTTGTCCCAGACACACGGGCAGCGGCTCCGAGGACACGAGCAAGCTGTTCTTGAAGAACCGCATTACACAGCAGCTACGAGCACGCAGCCTATCTGTCTAACACCGCACGCCACAAAGGTGGCCTAGACAAGCAGGCCAAACTCCGCTGCAACACCCCCAACCAGAGGCAAAGATGCAGAGTCAGACTCTTGGCACGAGCGAGTACGTGCAGCTCACTTGGGTTTTCTAATATACAGCACAAGCCGTCATGTAACAAAGGATAAACACAAGATTATCCTCTCTCCATCGACCTCCCTTGCCATCATTATCTGGCACTGCTGAAATTTCTGAAGAACACTGTGTTAAGGACATAAATATGATGGAAATTTGTATGTAGATAAACCAGGATCCAGATCACACAGAAAAACCTTGATTTGAGGGCACTTTTTTCCTGGAAGGTAATGGTTACGTTAGCCGTTTGCTCAAGTATTTGTGAACAAGATGAAGTGATTTATCTCACACCTGTAAGATGCAAAACTGCATCCCATTCAGACGAAGATCTGGCATTCTATAGGTACCTTTCCCAGCTGAACGGGGCGTTAACGCTGACACACAATTAATCAGATCCAGTAGGCAGAAAGAGCGAAGTGCAAACCAAGCAATCTAACTTTGGCTGTTCCACGCGGCTGTAATCCTCTGAGAGGCAAATACCTTCGGAAAGTTATCAGTTAATTGAAGAACAAGATAACTCACCTCTCCATACGTAGTAGTATATGGGATAATTACTGTTTTGAAAACCACTGAGAGACCTAACACTGCAAGCTAAGTCAGTCTCAAACAGAAAAGATGATGCAGCAATTTATCAACGGATCTGAATGCATGCATATATGTGGAAGGAGAAGAGCAAAGAAAAATTAGCCTTAAAAATCTTAAATACCTAGCAACAGTCAATGGATAAATTCATCACAGTACTTGGTGAAAGTCACTGACAAGTTTTGCAAGGTCAAAATCCTTACGCTTGAAGTCTTACGATTAGAACAGGCAGCAACAGCAGCCAGAAAAGCCTTAAATTAAGGGATAAACCGTGCATTTTCTTAGGTCTGCTGATGTAACATATACTGTATTTAGTAACTACATGTCTCGAATACAGCAGAAAGCTAAAATCGCTTTCCTCTAACAGCTCTAGGCGTTCTCGCTTTTTGCATGTATTTTGGCTTGCAAGACCATCCAAGCTTGACAGCGCCGGTCTCCAAGCTGATACAAGTCCTGCTTTGTCTGCAGGCTCAACTGCGGGAACCAACTTCCAGTACTAACAGCCCCTCACTTCCCAAAAGCCCAGCAGGCTCGGGCAGCGGTGACAAGGTACTCAAAACTCCCCTGATCGACACGATGCAGAAGACCTTTTCAAGTACTTGGATCAATTTCAAATTAGAAACAAAATACATTCCTTAGCAGCAGCGGCAACAGAAAATTAAAACTCAAGATGCATCTACAGAAACCAGCGTGACTTCTACACTGTGATCTTGGACCGCTCCCTTTCCAAGGACAACACAAATCTGCTGAAAAAGTAGGCAGACAAATGATTTCTGCTTAACTAGTCCCAAAGCAGGGCTGAGATGCTTATTTCATACAAAAACCAGCAGTGGAGAGCAAAGCAAGCCATCATACATTTTAAATCCAGTAACTCACCATTAAGAACACTGTATTCCCATACCTTGGTCAAAGACAGAGACAGACGTCAAGGCACTGGTGTTGAACTGGGCGGATTTAACAGTGTTTGAGAACTGACAGGGGAAGCATTTCATCTTCCGCAGTGCACTGATTCGCTTGTGTATTTTCATCTGTATTAACACCCTCGTCGCCAAAAAAAGAAAATCAACCTTCTCCTCCTCTCTCCAGGCGGGAGCCGATTCCCGTGGCAGTTACACGCAGGGTTATTTTAGTCCTCCGGCACCGCAGCGGGCAAAAGAGCATCTCCAGAACCACTGCCGTGTCTCGCCTCCTCCCTCCCCTCCGTGCATGCTGTTTTTGCTAGAGTCTCTAGGTGGGAGCGTCGCAAACGCAGAGGGCTGCTCTGTCCAGAAGCTTGGAAACGATCCCTCTACTGGGAGGAGGATGTGAGGGAGCGGCAGACGGACAGAGCTCTATTGTCACCAACGGCTTTTGGACATGCGATGCATTCTCCTGTTTACTGCTGAATTCATTTCAATGCCCTCTCCTTCAAGCACAGAGAGGAATAACCACCAAAACCCTCTCTGGCAACCACAGCCCCCACAGGATGCAGCTAGACAGCGTTATCTGTTAACAGACTCCCAGTTCCCCATGCCCTGGGGACCAGATTCGTCCCTCTCCTCCCCCCAAGCATCTCGTTGACACCAAGATGAAGCATGAGATTTCAAGTGATGAGATTTTAAAGCACCAACAGGCAACATCCAACACACCCGGGGAAGCCATCCTTCGGACAAAAGCAAACCAAAAAGGACCGAATCGTCTACATTCCTGTGGCGTACCCAAAATACCCGTACCTGGGGCGACAGCTCAGGGGCTCCAGCAGCATTCAACAGCACCGCCCTGCACCGGCGCACACCACTGTCCTCAGAGCCACCCAAGCCAGCCCTTCACAGACGCCTGGTGTTAACACTGCAGAAACGCTTCTGAGACTACTGAGTACTTCCAAATCAGGGTTTCCAGTGACCTGAAAGCAAAGGGGGGAGGGGGAATCCCCAACACATCCATTTACTGTTGTTGCACAGGTAGATCGCAGAGCGAAAGTGTCTTGTGGCAGGTCGAGTGCGACGCTGTGAAGCGAACACAGAACTACGGTACCGCTGCATCCCCGCCTCAGAGCAGTAAAACACACCGCAGCCAAACCAAGCCAGGGATCCTAACATCCCACCAAACTGTAAAGAGAGGCTTCTGATCCCGTCAGCCTGAAGTTTTACCACTGTCAACAAGTCAAGGGAATAAAACAGCTTTATCAAACCAAACAAGCAAAAAAAAAAAACCACACCCTAATCCAATGACTTCGTTCCAGAAGGCCCACTGTGAACCCAGAAAGCAATCCTGAATTACATTTGTTTCCAATAATAGAATAAAAGGTATTTTATTAGTACAGAAGAGGCTATCTATTTTAATGTACCATGAACTTGAAATAAACTCTGCTTATAAAACATGCTTGGTAGGCAAAACATGTCACCTGCTCCGCAGCAGCAAGTCAATCACGACAGCGAACAAAGAGCGTCTGTCTTTCTCCAGACCTAGAAGGTTTCTGTGCAAGTTTTTGGAATCGCACGGATCTGCTGCCAAGGCAGAGAGCAAGTAAATCAGCCTGTTCACACCAGTGGAGCAATCTCCTGATGTTTCCAAGGACTGGACAAAGAAGTGTAGTAATTAAAAGGCATTTTTATACTACTTCATTGTTTATACACCTTCCCAGTGGCTCAAAATACCTTTTCTGGTATTTTCCAACGGAGCAACTCAAAAAACCCCGTCTCCTCCACAACGCAGAGCAGGTTACTTACAGGTTGGGTCCTTCTGTCCTAAGGAGTAAAAGGACAATTCACTGACCAAATGTGCAGCCCGCTTCCTCAGTTTGCCAGCCTTAAGTGCAGAAGAAGCTATTTTGATCAAACTAAACATCAATTTCTCATTCCAAGGACACGTCAGAAACTGTCTGGAACAGGAAACCAAGAAACCAACTTTGAATATTATTATTCAAATCCAAGGAAGCTCAAAAAGGATTGAGGAAGAACTGAGGAAGCAGCAGCAGGATGGATAAACATCACGGGGGACGGAGACAGTGAATATTTGAACTCAACACAGAGCTACTGAGCACACCTGAGCCATTCTTCCTAGGTTCCCTCTAGAAGGTAAAGTGAA